CATTGCATCAGACAGTAAGCCTAAGAACTCTTAGCTTTAGGGTTTGTTGATGATGACTCATGTTTGATTTTGCTTCGAATTTGGGGTTTATAGTTGGAATTTGGGGTTTTCAGGGTTTGAATTAGGGTTAGGGTTCATTGGGGTTCTTGTTTAGGGTTAGGGTTCATCCAGTTTAGGGTTAGGGTTCATCATTGTTGTAGGTTTTTAGGGTTAGGGTTCTTCACGAACCCTTAGGGTTCTTCACGAACCCTTAGGGTTCATATGAACCCAAATGGTGGTTTGTTTGAAGGTGGTGGTGCCTTGGAGCAGCCGCTGGCAGAAGCGATTACTGGCCTGTGGCACCCAAGGCAGAGGCGGTTTCTGGTTGTCGGGTTTCTAGAGAGAGAAGAGAAAATAAAAATGGGCTTTCAACCCAAAAGTTTGTTTTTATAATGTCCTCTAATTCCCTATGTCCCTCTTATTGTGCACCTGCATCCCCTGCCCTTTGATTACCATCAAGCGTTCCTCAAATGCGCTTCTACCATAACATCCAACACTCACCCACACTCTGTCCATCGGGCCTCAAACAATTTCTGATTTGGGTTTGGTTCTTAGTTCCTACACCTCTCAAATTGCTTTCCCAACATAATACAACACCCCTCATGTGCTATTGGGCCAAGTCCAATATATGGACTTGAGCCCTTGCTAAACCAATCTTCCAGATTTGCTACTACGTACAAACTTACACCCCTACATTTCGGGCACAAATTCAATATCTGAATTTAGGGCCTTACTATTCACACCCCCAACCTTTTACTACCAAACTAAAAATACACCCCCTGCGTAAATTAATTTAAATTATATTTTTTATAATTTCTTTTATTTATTTATTTATTTTCTTATATTAATATTTATTTTAATTATAAATTATAAATTTATTTTTAATTAAAATCTCTTTTTATATATACTAACACATTCAAATATCTTTTTTTTATTTCATTAAAATGGTTTTTCCTCATGCATAAAAATATTTCGATATATTTGAAAATATATAACCAATCAAATATTAACAATTTTCCACTAACCTAATTCAAAACTTATATATTTTCAAAAAAAGGATTATGGAGATATTTCTCATTAACCGCTAACTTCGTCTAACAACTCTGCAATTTACAAACCCAGACTTGGTTCAAGGAAAATTCAAAATATCTTTGTAATCCATAAAAACACCAACCAACAACTACAAACTACGAATTAGGACTTTGATTACTCATAAGAGGATACGTAGGCATACGATTAAAATCGTGGCGAGTTCCCTTAATAAAGATTAAAACCCTATTTCCTAAACCGTAAATCTAAACCCTAGTATCCTTGTGAACAAGGTAGATGAGGGGTACCTAACACCCTCCCTTTTTCTAAAAACGAGTCAACAAATTAGAATCTCTAACCAAATTAGGGTTATCCGTCATATTCCCTTCCCTAGGATAAAAATTGATGGTGGCGACTCTCATTGTAAAACCGGTTATAACACTAGGAAACCTTCATCAACAAAGGAATAGAGCACGGTGGACTAGTGGCGATGATATCTAACAAGAGCAGCACTAAGATAGCATCTGACTTCATTCGTGAATGTGCTCCAGGCAAAGAGCTCAAGAATTGGATAACCTTGGAGATTCCAAAGATCTTTTTCTTTCCAATGTAATTTTCTTGTTTTTAAAAGAACCTATATCAAGTCTGAGGCATAGGAGTAGCTTGTAAGGATCCCTTGATTTGTTTAAAACATTATTCTCAATTAATAAGGGTTATATTTTGCACTCAATTAAGATCCTATTATTTATCTTGCATTTATCTCTTATGTTTTAAAATGGAAATACTTTTCTTCATATGCATTTTCCAAATTCACATACTAAAACTGCACCAAAACATGATAAATCACTGATAATCTTACTACTGCTATCTGATATAACTTTGATGCACCTGTCAACCTTGGCACATTGGAGGAAAGCATCAAATAAATACTTATCAAGTTATTACATGAATATTTGGATATATTTACCTGGTCTTACAGAGATATGCCTGGATTGGAGATGTATATTGTGGTGCATAGACTACCTCCCAAGGAAGGTTATTCTCCTGTTAGACAGAAGCTCAGAAGAAATCGTCCATACATGTCTAGCAAGATTCAAGAAGAAGTCCTTAAACAATTTAATGAAGGGTTCTTAGTGGTGGTAGATTATCCACCTTGGATAGCTAACATCGTGCCAGTGCCCAAGAAGGACGGCAAAGTATGCATGTGTGTAAATTATCGAGATATGAACAAAGCAAGTCCCAAAGATGATTTCCCATAGAAACAACCGGTTGAAAATCATCAAACAATAAAGTCGCTATCGAACGTCTTTTATCCCACATGAAGGGAAAGGTAAACATCGAGAAAACCTGAGAAAAGCGAAGTCACTGTCTCGCGAACAAGAGATCGGGTAAGGGAGTCTATTACGCGAGGGGAAGGTATTAGCACCCCACATGCCCATAGTACTCTACGGTATCCTCTCTTGTTGTCTATTCTATGGGTGTATTTAATTTATGCTTACTTTTTATCACTGAGGAAGAATGCATGCAAAAGTAAGGAGAAAATAATGTAGGGAAATAAAATTATACTCGTTTGGGCCCTACCCTAATGCCTACTATCCTTTTTGAGGAATCAGAGCTACCGTAGTTCGGCTCACATATTTTTGTTTGTTTCGTGTTTTTTATAGACGACGTTAATTCCGCCTTCTACCGCAGCTCGACCTTTGGAGACTTACGCGTTGGCACATAAGTAAATTAATCATGTCCTTAACTGAAAATAGTTTCGAGTTATGCTCTCGAGGCAAGATGCCACATTTGATTTGTTTGTGTTTTGTTACCTTGAAAAGGGTTTAAGTGTGATTAGCATGTTTTATGACTTGCTAAGAAAAGAGGATTTAGTTTTAGATGTAAGGATGCAAAAGGGGAAGAAAAGAGTCTAAGGGAGACTAACCTATTTCTAACCTAATGTTATAATACAATGGTAGTCCTAAGGTTTAGATTAACAAAAAGGAAACATCTACCTAATGTTAGTATGCATGGTTCACAACCTAAGGTCTAACTTGCATCCGAATGGAGCAAGCACATCCTAAGGGAACATGGTATGTACAAGGATAAAGCAAGCAAGCTCGAAAGAGCACACACATAAAAGAGTAAGGAAAAGAAGTGAAGTGCTTTAGTCAAGGGGAGTGTATCACCTGAGACAAACAGGCGGGAGTGAGATAAAAAAGTAAAAATAAGATATCCAAAGTGATTGAACACCTAACCAAGATATAGGAGATCGAGGCAAGCGACAGAAGGCAATATGAACGATCACGGAGTATCAGCATCAGCCAATGCGAACTCCTGATAAAACGTGGGGGTGCGATTGTGGAACCCTTCCCCACTTGACAGCTCTATATACAAGAGCAGGCACAACTCTGAAGCATCGTGGTGCGTTACGAGCTAAGGATGACACAGACGAAATTGTGGGGGTTGATTGTTAACCCTTCCCGCTCTCCTTCTTTTGAGGACTTCAATAAGGGATGGGGAACAACGCGGGAACAAATATAAACACACCTGCAGAATACCTACACAAAGGTAGGGTTTTAAACAAACCACACACAAGTAGCAAACAAAATGCAGACAATGTGGAATTTCCCTAAACGGGTCTTTAAATAAACCAGATGGTTTCCTGACATGATCAGCAACAGAGACCCCCGTCATACATCTCTACCCTACTTCTCATGGCATCAGAAAGCGATAAAGACCTACTTCTCATAATCTCTAGAAAATCGGTAAAGTGCAGAAATGAGGAATAAAATAAGGTCACGATGATACCGAACAGAGAAGGTCTGTTGCCTCTTCAAAACCATGCAAGCAAAGTGAAAATTCTACAAAAGCTGCTTCACACAAATGATCAAACGAATTAATCTTCAAGCATTCCATATTGCGAAAGTTACCTCAACATCATATCACAAAATCTTGGCTAAAAATGGAAACAAAAATGATTAATAAACATAAAAGAAATAATAGAAAATTTTAATAAAAGTCTAAAGAGAAAGCTTAAAATTTTTAAAAATATTCTACTATTTTTGTACCATTTTTATTATCAATTGAAAGAAAAGATAAAACTATAAGAAAAACTAAAATAAAAAAGGAAGTTACAAGAGTCAGGGTTGCAAACTGCATGTAATGGTGTTGAAATAAGAGGCACTAGGCCCAACATAATTAGCCCATGAAGCAGTTTTTTGCTCCAATGCTGCAAGTGTACACAAAGAGTGAAACGGGCATGTATGGGGGTGCAACGCAACAATGTCCCAACGGATACCTGCATCCAGTCTTGTATGCTTCACCAAAAACAACTTCAAAAAAAAATGAATGGCCATGGGCCTCCAGATAGTAATTCGGTCCATGTACACCATCACCTTCAGATTTTAATCCAAATCCAACTTTCATCATTATTAATTAAAAACTAAAAAATTAAAATGGGAAGAAAGTGTAATGCGTGCGTTTTGAGTCGTTTAGGTTTCAAAGGTTTTGTGACACTTCATCTCACATAGTATTCTTCTCTCTCGATTCCTTCTTCAAACAAAACTATACACCGCCACAAAACTAGTGTTCTCATCACATAACCCCGGTCGCCATCGCCAATGGTGACGTCTCAAACTCACCTCTCCCGCTCCAACGCATTCATCACTTTCATTGTGCAGCCATGGAGGATTTAACTCCGTCCCTTTGATTTCGGCCAAGACGTAACCCTTAGATCTTACTCAAGAAGAAATATATTAGAGTTGCTCCGATGGCGTCTTCAACGGTGATAAATACGAAGAGAAATCCAAAAAATAGACCGCTATAGTTAAGTTATTCAATTCCTTCCTTGTAACGATCCCCTTCTCTTATCTTATTCTATATTCTCTTCTTTTTATGCTCGATTATTTGTGCTTTTTTCTTGTTCGTGTAGTAATGTTGATATTGTGTTATGGAACAGTGTTGATGCAGTTGCGCTTCTGTAGAAAATGGTGTTGATGATTGAAGATTATGCAGAGAATTGTGGAGAATTTGAAGATGTTTAGAGATGTATGAAGTAGATGAAGGTTGATGATATGATGCCGAAATCCTGCAGTTTCCACCAAGATTCTCAGATTATGATGAGTGAGGTTGCAGAGAAGGATGAAGATCGAAGACCCTGTATGATGGAGACGATGAATCGGTATATGATGGAGATTGTGCTTAAGCTTCAAGAAGATTGAAGAGGATCGAAGCATTAAAGAGAGAATTTGAGAATCTCCTAATTGAAAGGTGCGTCTTCTCTGATTTTTTAGAGTTATTGTGAATTTTTCCTCTCTATTGAATAATATCCTTTCCCTCCTTTTCTGGTGTTCTCTTATAAGTTTTCTGTTGAGGCAGTTAGAGGTTGTTAGGAGATGTTAGGAAGCTGGTTGAATGAAAAAGAGGTTAAGGAAGGAGTTAGAATTCTGTTACTCAGTTGAGAGAGTTAGTTTTTTGTTGGCTCTTTTAAAAGTTAGGTTGAAAGTTTTATCTATTTGGGGAATGTTTTGGATGTTGGAATTCTATTGTGCAGGGTAGTTAGGTTAGTGAGGTTAGACGTTAGTTGGGGAGTTATGTTATGGACAATTAGGTTTTCTGTTATAATTCTGTTCGTAACTGCCTTGGGATTCTGTTATGAGCAATTACCCTGAGCTGCAAATCTGCTACAGTTAGTTTTCTGAGTTGTATTTTCTGACTTAATCCCTTCTCAATTTCCTACAGACTGACTGTTATGTTAATACAGGGGTTGGTTTTTGTAGCAGCCTAATTTTATCTTCTGTTTTTGCTCATCTATGCAGGGTGATTTGGAAGTGAGCTAGCTTTTGATTGAATTACTGAGTGAAGTGAATCGTGGGTTCCCATATTAATCGAACTGCTCTGAGTCTGGATCTCAAATGAATTGAACATCAATGCAGTGCATTGGCGCAAGTTGGTATTATATTAGCTGTTTTTTCCTTTATGCAGGTTATGACATGTTTAGTCTATTGGTATGAACTGATTTATTATGGACATGATGATGGTGTTTTGATGCAGGGGTGCAACTGGTGATACAATTCCAATATAGTTTTAGACAACAAGTCGTTTGAAGAAAATGCAATGGAAAGCTTTTGGTTTTGTGTGACTGAAGCAAGGATTGAAGTCATTAATAATATGAAGGCATAAGTGGAGAAATATTGATGAAGTCATGGTGGGAATAATATGTTTTAAAGAATGTATCCAATGTATGGCAATGTAACATGATATAGTAGTGGAGATTTTTTTGTAATTGTAATGACTTTGTGCATGTATCTCTTTATAATTTTCTCTTGGATGAACTTTTGTAAGGACCTTGAATGGATTTTGGGCCTGAACTTTGACAAATGAGTATTCGTAATTGATGGTGAAATGATATTTGCATTCGAAAAGTATTGTAAACTTGAACCTGTGAATGAATAAAATGCTGAATTTGAATTGAATGAACTTTGATGTTGGATTGTAACTTGATTTCCAAGTAAATCCTCTTTCATTTTAATACCAATATGAACCTTAACTGAGTTTGAATCATCCTAATATTCAATGAAAACCCCTAATTCAACTCTTTCATCCGTGTTAACTTGTATTGCAAGTAACATGCTAATGTCTTGATCACCACTTCATCTTTTGTAGCATAAAACAAAACCTTGGAAACTCTATCTTCAAATGTTTTGATTTGACAAAATTCTTTTTCACTCGATGATTTTAACATAAAAAATACTCTTTGGATAATCCTTGGATGAAGATGAATGAGATTTGAATCATAGAGGAAGACCCTTGAGATAACCCTATCCATGATCTTTACACTAATGAATGCTAACAAGCTCGAACCGTGTATGAGAAATCCTAGTCTTCTTGAGATACCCTTGATTCTTTTGATGAAAATATGATCCTTGTAGCTTGATGAAAGAAGAAGTTCACAACAATTATTAAACAAGAAACCCTAGCTTTCAACCAATGATTAATGGAGGAACCCGTAGAAACAAGCCTGAATGAAGGTGAAAGCCGCAAAGTAAAAAACCTAGCTTCAAGATCCTCAATCCCATGCCCATTTGATTGATTAATGATGCATGATGTTGTTAAATGACCTAATGGAAGTTATGTACATGTGAAAAGTACGAGATGCATAAGTCAGATAAAAGTAAAAGGGTAGGACAAATTTAGGGTATTACACTCGTTACCTCACATAGATATTTTGGTGGATAATACAACTCAAGCTTCAGTATTTTGATTCATGGATGGTTTCTCAGGTAATAATCATATCAAAATGGAACCCGAGGATATAGTAAAGACTACTTTCATGACTCCTTGTGGCACTTTAGGTTACAAGGTGATGCCTTTCAATCTAAAGAATGCATGGGAAACCTATCAATGAGCTATGGTCACACTATTTCATGATATGATCCACAAAGAAGTTAAGTTATACGTAGATGATATGATTTCCAAATCTCATACAGAGGAGGATCACATCATACATTTTCAAAATTTATTCAAGCGTTTGCGAAAGTTCAAACTGAGGTTAAATTCGAACAAGTGTACATTTGGTGTCAGGTCAGGAAAATTATTGGGTTTTATTGTAAGTCAGCATGGTATTGAGGTGGATCCCGACAAGGTAAAGGCCATACAAGAAATGTTATCTCCAAGAACAGAAAAAGAGGTTTTTGGTTTCTTAGGACGATTGAACTACATTTCGAGGTTCATATCGCACCTAATTGCTATGTGCGAGCCTATATTCAAATTACTTTGAAAAGATTAGATAGTGGTATGGAATGGTGATTGTCAGACAGCCTTCGAGACAATAAAGCAATATTTACAAGAGCCACCAATCTTGATGCCACCAGTTCCTGGAAGACCACTTATCATGTGCTTAATAGTGCTTGAAGGGTCAATGGGATGTGTATTAGGACAACATGATGAAATGGGTAGAAAAGAGCATGCAATTTCCTACATCAGTAAGAAATTCACCGGCTGCGAAACTAGGTACTCACTTCTCCAGAAGACTTGTTGCGCTTTGGATTGGGCTACTAAACGGTTAAGGTAGTATATGTTAACTCATACCACATGGTTAATAGCGAGAATGAATCCTTTGAAGTATGTGTTCGAAAAACCAACTCTCACAGGAAGAATTTCCCAATGGAAAATGTTACTATCCGTGTATGATATCCAATATGTTACTCAAAAGACCATCAAAAGTAGTGTACTAGCTAATCACCTGGCTTATCAGCCTTTGCCAGAATATCAACCAATGAAGTTTGACTTTCCAGACGAAGATGGCATGGTTATAGGTGACTACGAAATACCAGGACCCAACGAAGGACCTGAACCAGGGGCACGTTAGACACTCATGTTTGACGGTGCTTCAAACACACTAGGGCATGGTATTGGGGAAGTGTTGACTTCTCCGAAGAATTTTCACAAACCTTATACTGCAAGGTTATGTTTTGATTGCACCCACAATATCATTAAATAGGAAGCTTGTATCTTGGGACTAGAAGTTGTTATTGATCTAAGAATTAAACACCTCAAAGTGTATGGAGACTCAGCATTAGTCATATACCAAGTCAATAGTGAATGAGACACTAAACATCCCAAACTAATCCCATATTGGGATCATGTTTTGAAGCTAGCTACGGAATTTACTATGATTGTATTCAGTCATATTCTGTGAGAAGAAAATCAGATGGTAGCATCTTGGCAATTTTATCAGCCATGTTCAAAGTGACCTGGCCAAATCACGAATCGCGCATTACAATTAGACATTTTGAAGAACCTGCACATTGCCTTGCCATTGAAGAAGGACCAAATAGCAGGCCTTGGTTCTATGACATCAAAAGGTAACTTGAGAAGTAAGAATATCCAGAACATGCATCTATAATTGACAAGCGAACTCTGTGGAAGCTAGCTTCAAATTTCTGTATAAATGGTGATGTGTTATACAAAAGAAACTACGATATGATGTTACTCAGGAGCATGGAGAAACTTGAAGCAGATACACTTTTGGAACTTATACAAATGGACATGAAATGGCTAGAAAGATCTTACGAGCAGGTTACTATTGGTTGATGATGGAAGATGATTGCTACCATTATACAAAGACATGTCACAAATGCCAAATCTATGCTGACAAAATGCATGTAGCACCGACTCCTCTGAATGTCCTAAGTTCTGATGTGCAGAATTTATATGATAGGAATGATTAAACCGAAAGCCTCTAACAGACACCAGTTCATACTAGTTGCCATTGATTACTTAACCAAATGGGTGGAAGTTGCATCCTACGTAAATGTGACAAGACAAGTGGTTACTCGATTCATCAAGCAGAATCTTATATGCAGATATAGGGTTCTTAGAAGAATCATTACAAACAATAGGTCCAATTTGAACAACAAAATGATGAAGGAGTTATACGATGACTTCAAGATCGAGCATCATAATTCCTCACCATATCGACCCAAGATGAACGGGGCCATTGAAGCTACCAATAAGAATATCAAGAAAATCATTCAGAAAATGGTGAAGACATAAAAATATTGGCACATAATGCTCCCTTATGCTCTACATGGCTATCGTACTTTCGTGCGTACATCAATAGGGGAAACTCCTTTCTCTCTAGTATATGGCATGGAGGCAGTACTCCCTGTTGAAGTAGAGATTCCATCGCTACAAGTTCTAATGGAAACAAAGCTTAAAGAGTCGGAATGGGTTCAGACGCGACTTGATCAGCTTAAACTCATTGAAGAAAAATGATTGACAGCTTTGTGCCACAGTCAATTATACTAAAAGCGAATGAAGAAAGCATTTAACAAGAAGGTCTATCCTCGAGTGTTCAAAGAAGGAGATTTGGTTCTCAAGAATATTCTACTACCTCGCCTTGATTCACGTGGTAAATGGACACCCAACTATGAAGGTCTGTATATGGTAAAAACAACATTCTCGGGTAGTGGTCTTATCCTCACAACAATGGATGGGGAAGAACTGCCACATCCGACAAACTCAGACACAGTAAAAAAAATACTATGTATAAAAAGCTCGCAAAGTTTGAACCTTAAATGGGCGACTTTAGCAAAAAGGAGCGTCCCGGTGGATCAAAAACCCTAAAGGGAGATCCAGAAAAAAATTAGGGACATAAACAAAAAATTATTATCCCGGTGGATTAAAAACCCGAAAGGGTGGTCCAAGCAAATGTTATGGATCTTACTCAGAAATAAAGAACAAAAATATTGTGATCTAAGAACCATGACCACGACTATGAAGGATAGGGATTAATCTGAATCATTTAACTCAGAAGCAAAGGATATTGGAACTATTAAAAGGACATTAGAGAAACAACAGTAGCAATTATAATTTTCAATGCCATTTTCAGTTTTATTAAAACTTTTTGTAATTACCTCTTTCTAGGAATTGCATTTTGTACTCTCGCCTGTTCAGAGGCATGTTTATTAATAAAACATTTACTCTTTCAATTGTGTATTTTCTTTTTCTGGCCTGTTTGCAAAATACTACGAATATTCTTGTAAATACTGCGTTGAAATCATTTTGGGGATTTGACTAATAAAATAGAAGCATTTGATAAAACATCAAAAAATATTTTGGTTAGAAAAACATCGAAAGAAAATTTACGCCTACATCTGTGCCTACGATCATAGCCACATCTATGTCCATGACTACATCCACGCATACGCCTGCGATATAAATATCAAAATCTTGCTGACAATTATTCATCTTAATTCAAATCAACTCAAAAATACCACAACAATGCAACCTACAATGTTAGGGAGTCGGTGACACAAAGAATAAACCAATGGTTTAAAATGGGAAAATATTAAAACATTTACAAAAAACATTTGGTACATATACAAACGTTTGAGGCATATACAAACATTTGGGGCATATATAAAAATTTGGGACATATACAAACATTTAGGGGCATGTACAAACATGCGGTGCATATATAGACATTTGAGGCATATACAGAAAAAATCCAGTTCATATATCTTTGGGTTCCATATCAATCTAGGGCATTAGGCATATATATCATGCATAACAATTTCCAAATTCATTTTGGTTAAACTACGAACTTTTCTTGGGCCCATTGTTAAACCATCTTATCCATAAAACAAACAAACACCTTGGTTGAGAACAGACACAACCGATAAACTTCGATCTTATCTTTGGTTTACTTATCTAAGATTTAATTATCAAAACACTATTTGAAAATCTATCCTATAGGTTGTGGTAGATATGTCATTTATTAGGTTTATGTTATTCATCCTCTAGGCCGTGATGAGTACATAAATCTATCCTTGTGTCGCTTATCCTCTAGGTCGTGATAAATGCACAAGTTCATCCTCGTATTATCTGTCCTCTAGGTTATGGTAGGTATGTGATTTATCGAGTTTATGTTATTCATCCTCTAGGCCGTGATGAATACATAAATCTACCCTTGT